TGCCAGCCCATTTCTACAAACAAATATTATATTTTTAATTGTGTTGGGATTGTCACCTGTGGACATTTTAAACTGTTTTACATATTCGTGCAGAGGCATAGCCTCTAAAGAAAGGTTGTCTCTGCAATGGAAATAGTTGTTCCTGGTGATTAGACATGGCAAGTAAACTTGGACTCGTATCCAGATGAATTTTATGTTTTATTAAATTGTAATTCTGCCAGCCCATTTCTACAAATAGAATAATACTTTTTTAAATTTAATATAAGAGTCAGTACTTTAATTTGTTTATTAATTTATTTTTCTCAAGTGAATTATACAGCATATTAGAACAAATACATAGTCATTTGCCATTCCAATTTCAATTTTTCTCCAAACAATCAAAGACATGTATGCATATGCCTTGTCTTTGGTTCTCTTCTCTTAATTCCACTGAGCAAATGGAAATGGCTCATCAGGAAATTTCCAATTTTCTGATGGGCTAGTCCACCACTGTAGCTGAGCAACCACACTACTAATGGAATGGAATAACATGACTTTATATAATGGATATCAGATCTTTGTGTTTACTATCATTCAGATCTAGACTCACTTTACCACTCATCTAATAAGTACTGTAAATCTAAGGGTAAAGTTAGATAATCAAATAATTTTTTTAGTGCTAATGTCTTATCCATCTATTGCTTAAATATAATCTATAGATACAAGACACTTTATATGGCAACATATAAAATGATTAATAAGAGAATAGAAATATTAACACACAAGACATATTTATGTGAAAAAAATCTTCTCTATTCATAGTTTTAAAGTATGACTAGTTTTTATATTTTGATAATGATTTAAGATATTATTATTGTAGCTGTTGGCATTATTGAACAGATACTGGCACATAAAACTGTGAATTAGTGTTTACAGTGAATTAGAAATATATAAATTAACAACATTACTTGTCGCAATATTGTTTATTTCAAGAAATTAGATAATGCTTTTGAAAGGTATAAAAATAAATATTTTAATTATTTAAATTCTCATTAAATTTTATCAAGCAATATAATGTTAACCAAAATTTTATAAATATGTTTAATTAGTGGATTGAAATTTATTTTCAATTTATGATTATGATGTTATGCCAAAAATATTTACTGCCCTAATAACAATATTGGTTGAAGGATTGAAAATAAAACAGAGATAATTTTATCTCTGCTAATGATTCTGAAATTATTTAAATATTTAATTTTAATTCTGACAAATGGCATATTAAATAATAGATGAGATTACTAATCTTTTAGAATATAAATATAAATATAAATTGTAAGTCTTCATCATTAATTTAACATTACATCTTTTAAATTAAAATATTTATTTGCCACTTAAGTTTATAAAAAAAATTAATTACATAACTCCATAAATGATCTAGTTGACAATTATGCTAATACATATGAGTATCAAAACTGAAATACTACATGTACAGTACACTGATAATGAATTTTGGTGCTCATAACAATTGACTAGATATTCATAGAAAATTCTATTGTTTAATGGAGAAATATTAAAAGACTTGATATTTAAAAGTAAATGGTTAGACATTTTAAACTTAAATATATTGGTTAAGTTCTTACAAAATAAAATGTTTTTATTTTATCAGAAATTTAATCATAAATTCAAATTGGTTTATATTTTTCCAAAAGCTGTTCAATCTTCAGTATATTTCATTCAATTAAATTCTATAAACCAAATAAATATCCATAAAATCTGTTGGAAAATGTTGCAATGGATTAAAGTTTATTTTGGAAATTCTTT